CCAGCAGGAAGAAAGAGAAATACCACATGAATGAAACAAGAAATTACCTTGAACATCATACTTAGAGAAATAAGCCAGTCACAGAAAGGCAAATACTGTCTGATTCCACTTATATGAGGGGCCTAGAATAGGCAAATTCATAGAGAAAGTAGAACAGAGGTTACCAGGGGCTAGAAGGAAGAGAGACAGAGGAGATATTGTTTAACGGGTACAGAGTTTTTGTTGGGGATGATGAAAAAGTTTTGGGTACAGACAACAGTGATGGTTACATAACATTGTGAATTTATTCAATGCCACTGAATTATACACTTATGAATGGTTAAAATAATAAATATTAGGTAACATTATTTTTCCACAGTGATAAAAATGAAAAAAATCACTGGAAATTCAACAAATGGTGCTGTGACAACTGGATACCCATATACAAAGAACGAAGTTGGATGCCTACCTCACACCATATACAAAAATTAACTCAAAATGGATCAGAGACCTAAATGTATGAGCTAAACCTATCCAATTCTTGGAAGAAAACACAGGCATAAATCTTTGTAACCCTGGATCAGGCAGTGGTTTCTTAGATATGACACCAAAAGAACAAGCAACCAAAGAAATAATAGATAAATTAGATATATCATCTAAATGGAAAACTTCTGTGCTTCAAATGACATGGTCAACAAATTGGAATGATAGTCTAGAACGGAAAAAAGTATCTGCAAATCATATAAGGGACTTATATCTAGAATATATACAGAACTCTTATAACACAATAAAAAGACAACCCCATTTAAAAATGACCACAGTATTTTAGCAGACATTTCTCCAAAGAAGATCTATACACAAATTGCTAATATTCACATGAAAAGATGCTCAACATTAGTCACTAGAGAAAGGCAAATCCAACCACAGCGAAAAAGCACTTCTCAGTGGTGAGAATGGCTATAATCAAAACAAGTGTTGACACGAATGTAGAGAAATTGGGAGCCTTACACATCGCTGGGAGGAGTGCAAAATGGGGCAGCCCCTTTGGAAAACAGCCTGGCAATTCCTCAAAATGTTAAACATACAGTTAGACATAACCTGGTAGTTCCACTCTATCCAAGAAAAATATAAACATGTCACATAAAAACTGTACACAAAATTTCACAGCAGCATATTCATAATAACTAAAGAGGAGAAACAACCCAAATGTCCACCAGCAGGTAAATGGATAAACAAACACGATGGAATATCATTCAGCTAAAGAAAGGAATGAAGGACTGATGCGGCTACATCGTCAATGGACTGAAAACATCACGTGAAGTGAAAAAAGCGTCATAAAATCCCACGTATTATATGAAACCATCAGAATAGGAAAACCCATAGAGACAGAAAGCAGATGAAAGCAGGCGCCCAGGGCTGAGGAACAGGAGGAAGAAAGTGAGGACAGTGGCGAGGGGCTGTCAGCGGTTACAGGCTTCCTTTTGGGGGCAACGAAAATGTCCTAAAATCGACTGTAGCGAATATACTAAAACCATTGAATTGGACACTTAATTAGTGAGCTGTACTGAATGTAAATTACACCTCAATAAAGCTTTTATAAAAAATAAATTCTTAATAATGATAGCCATTATTGTTTTAAATAATTCCTCTGGAGAAAAAAGGTGACTCAAGGACAAGAAGAAATCTTAACTCCAATTTTTCATCATAGAAAGACTTATGAAGAGAAAGTCTCTTTTAAAATACAGGGAAGTGGGACTGAGACGGCCGAGGCTTGGTTCTCCCTCCTGCTCTAAGCACGATCATTTCCCCTGGAAATAATCCAATGGGTAGCGATGAAGGGCTCTGAGACGGAAAGGAGGAGGCACACTGGTCTGGCTAAGAGCCTCAGGGCCTGAGGGCCCGCAGCGCAGTCAGATTCCTCAGGCCCCACAGACACTGGGCTGTGTGCCGAGAGGGCCGCAGCCTGAGACAGCCAATAGGCCCAGACAACAGTTCTCAAGTTCGTCCTCAATGCTTTGGGTTTGTGATATGCCAAGAACCCTATATACACTAGAAGGAGTGGACTGCTACAGTTTGGGCACTCCCGGCTTTCTGGATTCTGGAAACTTCCTTCTGCCACAAGCCTTCTGGGCAGCAATGAGTTGATGTAGCAGACCTGGGCTGTTCTAACCCTGAACATTCCCAAGACAGGCATGTTTTCAGGATGGGCCCTCGGCTGGCTGCTTGGAAGGGCTGTCAGATAGGAGTGTGTGCGGGGCCATCCTGTCCAGTCAATCCAGGCGGCTATGCTAACAGTGTGATTTATGATGAACTGCTGCTCTTCCTCTGGGGGCTAGAGCGTGAATGGCCAAGGTCGGCCATGCAGCTGCTACACACGTATAGGTCTGACCTTCACTAAAATCCCTGGACGCTCAGGTTGAGCAAGCTCCCCTTGCTGAAGCGTTGGCCACACTTTGTGCGTGTTGTCACACAGCAGAGCTGGTAACGGTGTCCCACGCACATGCCTCCACTGGGAGAGGACACTGGGATGTGGAGCCTGGTGTCCTCAGCACTCACCCCGTGTGCCTTTGCTGATTTCACCCTTACCTTTCACAGTAATAAACCGTTAAGTGCAAGTGTAACCGTCCTGTGTCCTCCCATCAATCACCGAGGCTCGGGGCAATCACGGGACCCTGGTACATCCTCCTTGAAGTGAGTGCCTTCTCTCATTCTCAGCGATCGTCTGAACTTCGCTACTCTCTGCTTACTTTTTCCAACATTTGGCAGGGTTCAGAGCACCATGTTAATCACCACAGATCGGTTACCTGCGAAGTCTGATCTGGCAGGTCATGACTGAGGGGCCACCGACACATTTTAAGCGCAGGGCTTGCCTGATCTCTACAGTGCGCCAAGGGCATGTCACCCGGTCGCAGCCATGAACATGGGCGTGCCGAGTCTTGGCTGCCACTTAAATGGCTGAGAACTTGGCAGAGACACCCCGCCATTTTGTATCCCACCACAACGAAGCTGCCAATAGCTTGGCATGACAGCACCCCGCAATTTCCTGCTGCCAATCGTCCCATCCTCTCCCTTTCAGAAAGTGGACACAACTCTGCACAGATGCAATCCCCACGTGCCCTTACCCTAGAGCAAGTCTCTTAGCTGGGATGTGGCTCCGCCTGGGAGGCCTGCCACGGATAATTTAGGAGCAATTTTGGAAAAAGATTTCACCCAGAGTGAATTCTCTATAAAAGTCATTCGCGTTCACTTGTACTCTGATAAGCTTTCTTGAGTGGGAGAGAAAGACTTGCAAGTACATTGCAGTTAGAAATTACACACAACCCACAGCCTCCCTTATATGTGTCAAGCATGAAATCACTGTTGAACTGGCTGATTTCGTTAGTCGTGTGCTTTGATGCTCTCTGATTCCGTTCCCCCACCTCAAGTGTGTGACTTATTTCTTTATTTTCTAAGGAAAGGTTTTGAGATTCCATTACCCCAGAGAAGCGGGTGATATGTGTGAAATGCTGGGTAAAGGATGCACACCCGTCTTAAAATGGCTCCGAGTGCCAGCACTGGGTAACATGAAGTGAACTGCATTCCCCGCTTCATCGCTTCTTCAACTAAAACTGCACACGTCTCAGGCTGTACAGAACGTTCACACGTGCTGCACTGACACGAGTGGGAACCGAGACAAAGGCCAAATCCCCACCTAATACAGGAGCTAAAGAGCCGGGGAGAAATTTCCATCACGTATTAACACAGGGATTTTATATTCTTGAGAAAAATCTTAACATTTATTTAAAAGTCTCCCAAAGGCTCTGATCTATAGACCACTCAGAGTAATTACATGTTTTGTTGAAGACCAGCAAAAGAATCATAGAAATGGTGTGACAGAGCCTAATGGATCTGCTTGGCTCTCCCTTTCTCTCATTAAAACAAGCGTATGTGCATGTGAGTGTGTGCGTGCATGTGTGTGTGATTGTGTGTGCATGTGTGTGGTTGTGTGTGTGTGTGTGTGGTTGTGTGTGTGTTTGTGTGTGTGATTGTGTTTGTGTGCGTGTGATTGTGTGTGCATGTGTGTGTGCGTGTGTGTGTGGTGTGTGTGTGATTGTGTGGTATATGTATGCTTTTATTTATTTATTTTTTAGCTGAGCCATCCTGCCACCTGTTGGCAGCTCAGTGGCTGCTCAGCTCGGGCCAGGACTCGAACCGCTGTTGCTCAGAGCTCAAACTCTTGAGCGAGCTCTTAACCAACTGAGCCACTTGGCTGGCTCCCTGTGTGCTTTTTTAAATAAAAGGAGCGATTACATTCCACACGCAATCTTCCGTCAGTGCTGCCACTTGCTCTCCTGATGGAGTACATGTTAGCTGGTTGGGAGCCCAGGCACACACTCAGGCTGTTACCACAGTCCATTGCATTTTCATTTTAACAGTCCTCATTACTGGTATCGTTTAATACTTGAGGGTTTGCTCACATCAACATCAATCTTGCTGATGCTGCAAACACTTATTTTTTTGCCACAACACAGTCTGGATCCACAGGACTAACTGTAAAAAACGTACAGTATTCCTTCACCCAACATGTTACCAAGTACTAAGAACAACTCTGCCACTCACTCACTCTGCCCTGTCACAGAGATACAGCACTGGAGAGACACCAAGCATGGATCCTTCGCGGGACCTCCCTCCCTTCAATCACAGTGCCATCTCGCCCATGCCCCTGCCGCCCACACGCTGCATCATCTGAAAGACATGTGACACCTAAAATGCAACCACTGTGAAGATGACAATGCTTACCTGGAAGACGCCTTGCTGGACACACCTGACTCTTTCTTCCTCATTTACGAATAGCCCTTTACCACAAGTCCTTTTTTTAAATTATAGTTGACATAAAAGGTAAATCTTAACTAATCAGAAGAGAGAGAAGCCTTGCCCTTAGAAGAAGCAATAAAAATCCCATTCAGGATAAAATTTCTTCTTCAGCTAAGCTTTAAATGGCTCTGGATGAGTTTAAATTAAAAAATAAAAGATCTCTCTACCTGATTGGAAAACCTCATGCTCACGTTACGTTGATTCTGTAGTGGGACGTAGCGCTGGATAGGATCGATGTCTTTAGGACTGATTAGTTCATCAGCTGAAAAAGAAAAAGGGAAAGGACATTACCAAAAATGTACAAGAAAACAAACCAACAAAATCCAATAGATATTTATAGAACACTCTATCGACAGGAGCAGAATATGCATCCTTTTCATACACGTGGAACATTGACCATGTGCTAGGCCATAAATAAATTTAAAAGGATTGAAATCATACAAAGTATATTTTCTGACTTCACTACAATAAGTTAGAAATCAATAACAGAAGTTTTAGAAATTCACAAATATGGAAATTAAAGGACACATTCCTAAATAATGAAAGGGTCAAAGAAAAAATCAAAAGGGGAATTAGAAAATACTTCCTAATGTACTGTCTGTAGCAGGGACTCTCTGGGGACCCGAAAGGGGCTGTGATGGGAGGGGGTGGGTGGTGGTGGGGAAAACTCCTGAATTGTAATTCTGCAGAGCCCCAGTGGAGTACAAGGTGGCAGTATCTATGCAAATGTAGAGAGGGCATACTCTCTGACCCAGCAGTGTATGAAGATAAAGTTATCTTCATTATGCTCAGACATGTGAAAGTTAATTGAATAACATCAGAAAAGACTCCCACTTCTAAAATGAGTTAGCACACTTCTTTCTTTCTACTGCATGCAAGCTATGAAAATGTGCTCATTTCATTCTTGAGCTTCAGTTTTATACTGGTATGTAAAATCGACACCATGCTGACTCTTGTGTAAATTCACCTGTGTTTAATATTTACTTTAAAAAAATTACACCTCATTTCCATAGCTTTTTAGGTACCACTTTTAGGCAGTGAATAATTCTGAAAAACAGAGCAGGGAGTCAACCACGAAAATGCTTGTAAGTTTCCTTGCAGGTTGGGGAATGTTTCTCATATTTCTATTCTGGGGAAATTTCAAGGCAGGCGTGCCATGTTATCCATTAGACAAAATCACCAAAGGCGCTTTCAGCAACTCTAGGAAGATGTCTTTAATAATAATACATGATATTAATAATAGAACAACAAGGGAAAGCAGAAGCAGCAGCAGCCACAGAAGCCACCACGGCACCCTGCACCTGCCAGCAGCAGCCGCCCAGCGCTTACCTAGTGCTTACTACATTCCTGGCTTTGTCTGAGTATTTCACGTATATGAACTCCTGAATCCTCACAACATCCTTATCACTTCACAGATTGCCAAATGGAGGCACTGAGTGGTAAGCGACTTGCACATGGCTAACGACACAGCTCAGATTCAAGTCCAGGCAGTCTCTCCCTGGAGTATGGGCTCTGACCCACACCCTGGAGTATGGGCTCTGACCCACACCCTGGAGTATGGGCTCTGACCCACACCCTGACCTTGCCCTGTAAGAACGCTGACGTTCTGTACAACACAGATGCAAAAGGTACCAGGAAGAGGAAACAATACACAGCTTAGACCTTGATAGGTTATGTTTTCTTACCCAAATCAGGGAGCATATTATATAGTACATGCTTCTCTCACTTTGAAAAGAATATACTTTTGCAAAATTTAAACTGAACCAATATAGGCTAATTATGGCAAATGTTGATATATAATTTCAATTTATTAGTATTAGTTTAGCTCATGACGCAGGGTTGATTAGACAGTGATATTCTAAATAGCAGCAAATTATTTCCAGGTCTCATTTGTCTGATCACTGAAATGTGAAAAAATTTCCACTACCAACAAGCGTTTTACATAATTAATGCTTTACTGTCATTCTACAGAAATGAAATTCTATCTTTATTATTGTGTTACTTATAAATGATGACAGATAAATTAAGAAATCTATATCCCTGGAAAGCATACATGCTAATCTATTAAAGTTGATATGAATAAAATAGTTAACCAAGTTTTTGGAAAAGCTGATTTCTTTGCATTTTTTCTCATTCCTTTCTTTGTGCTGCACCTGCATATCTAATTTGATGTGCTTCCAACTATCCGTGTGCTTATCTATAGCCCTCCCGGCTCTGCGCTTCTTATTCACGGCTATACCCCACTTGGCATACGGCAGGCACTCGAGAGACTCGATAAACAAAATAATAATTGGTAGGTTAACAAATTTGGAAACATTAATTGCTGGAATCATTACTTTCATTTCCATAATGGTGAAAGTGACTAATACCGTAAAAGGACAAGTTAATAGACATATTTTTTTTCGCTGCATTGATTTTTATCATTCAGGAAGCAAAACAGAGCTCCTCACTGTGCCAATTCCCGGCACTGGTTCTCTGGTGAAGAGTGACCAGCTTGAAAGAATTTATACCTGACCAATTATAGAATATTTAAGAATAAAAGAAAACAACAAGGATATAAGGGCAATGGCTTTCCACATTGCCTAGACAGTACTAAACTCACTACCAAGCATTTTTATAAATAGAACAGCCATCTTTTAATCCTTAGCGAACAGACTAGGTCATCAATATTTGCATTTTTATGCACAGAAAGATTTATGAAATATACCCTGAGTTTACCTCTAACAAAACTGTTGAGGGTAAAAAGAAAATATTAAGAAGAATTTTTGTTTCTTTAATGAAATGACACTTTAAAGAACATTTCATACAGCAAGTAATTTTTTTTATTATGACACCAAAATTACATAGGACCCACTAAAACAGGCTCAGCAGATACTTTACAGGAGAAGATTATGTGCTTCGAAGTCTAACTGATTTCCAGTGGCGGAGACACCCATTAGTAACAAGTATGTTAAGAAATGAGCGATGGAGGAAATAAAAATGTAGATTCTCAGCTTCAAACATTAAACTGAAACATTCCAAATTAGTATATATGTTTTTGACTTAATTAACAGAGATGAACTTTCTAAGGTTAAATGTTAAATTCCATGGTAAAAATTAAATAATGATAGATCTGAATATATAGATTTTAAATTTCATTCATCAAAAAACAGCACAAACCAAGTTTAGAGGTAAGCAGACTGGGAAAATCCCGGTGAGGTTTAGGACACCTAACATATAAAACAGGCAGGTGGATACGAAAACCATAAAACCAAGGTTAGGGGGGCAAAGCAAACAACTAGCCAATTTACAGAGGACACAGAAATGACTCAGAAATACGTTTTTAACAATCAGCATGTAAATGAAAACAGGATACAAAGTGGTATCTTACTAAGTTAGCAAGGTGGTCATTTTTAATGAGTCTAGTTAATGCCATAAGGTGACAAGTTACACAATCACCCTTCAGGTTCCTGGATAAACCAATAACGTCTGTCAGTCACGGGCTGTGACCTTGGGTGGCTGGCCCTCAGTTCTAATACCGCACTCATCTCATAGAGAAGTTAGGAGGGTCACCTAGGATACTATTTGTAGAGCGCAGGGCACAGAATCTGACAACGCTTTAAGGCCTTTGTTAGTAGTAGTGTTTCTGGGACACTGTCTGACAATATGTGCAGACTCTTCTGGGACTCCAGGCATCACTGCTTTCATATTCAATTTTACTAATATATGGAGGGTGGGATCATAAATTTTTTATACGCTTTCTAGCCTTAGTAGCAATTCAACCCAAAATGTTAGTTCCAAGAAAGCCAATCATTTATACAATAAGCTGAAGGAAGAAAATCTCCGTAGGTGAAGCTATTAAAGCAATAGCGCATTGCGTGTGCTCTCCAGATGTTTATAACGCCTGCTGCACAGAATCCCACTTTGGGTCACTGGCAATCACATGGATACTATGAAGGAGATAATACAAGTGCTCAAAAATAGATGTCTTTCTGCTTGTAGTTTCCTAAGGTGTAACAGCTGGAAAATCTCTTAGCAACCACAGTGTGCATATCTGTACACTCTTATCTATTCATTTTCTCTTTAGCTGATCAGTAACAAAACCGAGTGCTAGACTGAGTGAGGCGTCAATTGCATCTGAAGTCAACAGACCACTGAAAATCAAGGCCTCTGTTTCTTTTGTCCTCATGCATACTAGGGGGCACTTGATAAGAGACTTGAACTTTAAAAAGCATCAGATTTCCAGGCTTAATCAGTGGCTTTTATATTTGAGGTCAACTGGGCAAGAAATATCATGAATGAAATCACATGGAAATGGACTTCTCTTAGTTACAAACACTGGAATTGGGTTGTAGGATATCAGAATAACTAGGCTGTCTTCAGAGAGGCAAAAATATTCCCTAGGTTGTCACATTCCCTTCTTGCTGTAGAGTTACGGATGTCAGTGACCAACACAGAGTAGGTCTCTACAAATAGCAGCTGAATCACCGAGGAGGTGAATGGTTAAGTAGCAACGAGGGGAGCATTCTCTTGTGATGTTTTATGGCTCTGGGGAACCCCCAAGGAGGATGAGCATCCTGAGTTGCCTGGTTAACAAGAACTAGGAAACATATTTTCACAAATACTGTCTCCTAAATGGTGGCTGAGGGAGCGAGGAAGGATGAATGGAAGAACAGGAAACAGAGCCATTTAAGTATGTGTTTGTCCCACAGTAAACGCATTATGTGTATTTCCTCATCAGTTAATCCTTAAAACATAAAAAGAAAGAAACTGATGATTATGGAAGTTAAGAGAATTCTTCAGGTCACTAAGTAGTAGAACTTGGATTCACACCCTGAACTGTCTAGTTCCTGAGTTCATGCCCCCAAAACTCTTGATCTCTCCACTACAGTCCAAGACAAATGTGAAGAGAAGGAAAAAAGGAAAGGAAACCAAGGGAGAATACAGTGGAGGAAAAAGATAATAAAGTCAGAAGTAATCTATGTCACATGGTTATAAGTTTGCTGGATGTCCATAATCATTGAAAATATAGTTTCTACTAGAAATAGAGTTCTAAACAATGACTTACAAAGAATTTTAAGGGACCCAAGAAATTAAATTGGGAACTCTGTATGTATATAACATCTGGGATATTTTGAAGTACTTCTATATCTATTTTATCACCTTAAAAGTCTCTTATTAACACTCCTAGGAAATTAAATAATACCTATCCCAAAAAGGAAAAAAAATCCTTTGTAAAATTCAAGAAAATTTTCATTCACCTGAATATTTTGGGAGTTTGTGTGTATTGGAGAGAAAGTTGTAATTAAAATTGCTCAATAATTCAAGTTTACTCAAAGAACATGCCTTGTTTTGACTCAATGTTTATGAAAAATGTTTTCAAAATTTCTGTCCAAAAAAAATTCTGTTATTCACCTATCTTAAATTATACAGAATGTAAAGCTCGACTCTTTAATGATTTGGGATCTTATAGTAGTACCTAAATGAAGGTCAACACTGCGAATGTCTGACATACAGGGTAAGGAAAGTTAGTTACATATATGTCCAAAGGACAAACTAAAGTCTAGAAGTCAGATTTTCTTTAAAGCTAAACAACTGATGTGTTAGTTTCTCTCTTTAAAAAGTATTGAATAAGAAAATATATTAAACTTAACTAATGGCTTTGGGAAAGTTTCAGAGTAAAGTTATCATTAACCACATGTTATTTTACAGTTCTCTAGCTTTCTTAACCTCAAAAAAAAATTCAGTCCAAAGATCATAATTTTCAAGTGACTTTCATGTGATAAATACTTTTAAGGTTATTTTCACCAAAGAACTCAAAAAGGTACACTGCTTTCTACAGACTGATCATCTCTGACATGGATAGTTTCTAAACTTCCATATCTATGTAACAACAGAAGGCATAACAAATGATCATTTTATTCTAAGACATGTCAAATGTTATGTCACAAAATATCTTATCTGAGTTAAAATAAACATGTTTAGAATTTATTTACCTATTTATAGCAAACACTGATTTTCTAAAAGTCTAATTTTTCTAAAGAAAAAGATGCTGTTTAACCATTAACTATTTTCTGAGAACACAGGTAGTTCAGGCTGTGGGCCAGGAAACAGCATATTAAGTCTTTTTGCTCTAACAATGGAATAAGTCACACACTTTTTTGTATAATTATTTACTAACAAATACATAGAGCACAATATTCTCAATAGGTTCCACTGGATACAACCTCACCTGAATTAAAGTCATACACAGTTATAGAATATTTTCAAGGATTTCACTGCTCTATTATTTTTATGTAGCTCCAAATAACTGCCCACAAAATATCCAGCTGAGGCTCCTCTCATGCATAAATGGGACTTTGTTGTAAATATGGTGCCTGGAATCTTAATAGCATCCATAGAAATCTGATGGTTCTTGGGGCAAGTATCCAGTAGTTAAGAGCAACTAAATGCTTCAATCTTCTGAGATCTTATTCATCTTAACCAGCTGTTAACCAGAGGACACACAGCTAGGTCTGAGTGCTAATGAGTGTGTAGCGTCTCTTTTTTTTCCAGGGGAGATAAGTACGTGGTTTCACAGTTTGCAACACATCTTCTGTGTGCTCTCTACTGCCTCTTTAGAAGCTCAGCGGGGAAGAGAGAAATCGACTGTTCTTTGAAGCCTTTCTTCTTCTTTTTGATCATGCAACAGAGATTAAAGCTAGACCTGGACTATTCTGTTCACTCTGGTCTTAATGTAAGAAAATGCTATTTATACTCAAAATCTGTCTACTTTCAGTATATTTATTTTGGCACAAGGAAGGCCCACAGCTTTTTTACTGACTGATGCTATTTTCAATCTTTTTCTTTTTTTTAAGCTCAATTTCCTTATGTAGAGTACGGTCAATCCTCCATTCCCAACTCATTAGATTTCTTTCTTTTTTTTTTTTTTTTTTTTTAAAGATTTTATTGGGGAATCGGAGGAAGGGGAACAGACAAGTTGCTGTCATTTTGTTCTTCAGTCTAGTTGTGGAGGACGTTGCTGCACTGGCCCAAGTTGGCACCATCATTGCGCTCTTCCCGGGTGAGGCAGATCAGTCGCCGGCTTCTGGACGACCGCTCACTGCGGCTGCTGGCCGCTCACACTGGCTGCTGGCCACACACGGTAGCCCATGGCAACCCACTGCCACAGGGGCTGCAGCCTACGCCGTCGCCGGCGACTCAGGGCAGCCCAGCTCCAGGTTGAGCTGTTGTTCAGCATCTTAGCTGTAGAGGGCAGTGTCACTGGCCCTCATATGTGGGATCCGAACCGGGGCCCTCTGGCGTCCCAAGCCAGTTCTTAACCAACGCGCCACTCGGCCGGCCCTCATTAGATTTCTTAAGTTTATTCAGAGGCTTTGCTCAAATAGCACTCTTTCTAGCTATATTGCCCTCAGGCTGGTATATCGCAGAAAGCAGGATGAAGGTTTAGATCTCAAATTTTATATCCCAGATACCAATGTTCAGCCTCAGAATCACAGATGATTTTCATCATGCTTGTTTGTCATTTCCAAGTGTAGTATATAGAAATTTATGATTCTGATGTTAAAATTCTCGTCCTTTCATAGGTTAACTACTCTTCTGCTGCAATATTTTTTATTTAGCTGTAAGTATCAACAAGTCTTCTTTGTATTCATGCTAGGGAGATAAAAATAGCATTCTAACCAGAGATAACCTTACCAACTTGCTTGATTCTAAGAAAACTACTTCACGTATATTTATTTTTTCTTTTGGAAAATATAAAAGCAAAATCTATATAAATAGTATCAACTCCATATCAAAGAACTGTCCATTTAAAGGAAGAAAATTGTTCTACAGGTTCTTAAATTAGCACTAAGTTTATATGGAGACCCAGAAAATGCAGTTAGAAAATGAAAAAATGGAAAACAGCATTAACTTAACTCTCTCTTCTTTAGCTAGCTTCTGTTTGCTCTTATATATTATTTGTGTAAAGCTCGAGTTGGAAGTCTGGACTTTGAAATATTCTCTCTAATGGAATGTAAAAAAAGGAAGCACAGATGATGATTCTTACAGTACAAATTTAGCATCTATGCAGAAATACCAGGAACGACAAAGACAATAAGGGGATTTCACGCAGCAAGCAGTTCTTTTCGTGCAGGCACAGTATCTACAATCAGCCCACTTCATCACCTGTTACCATAAAGGAATTCTGACGGATGTGATAGGCTTTTTGATGGAAATGCTAACAATATCTGAAATTTTAGCATGGTACAGGAAGGTGCATAATACTATTTTGGGTTCGTTAAATTAGCCTTCATTTCAATGTATCCAAAGAATATTCCCATAGCTGAAGTTTTAGGAGAAGCTGAAAATAATTCTTCAAAGAATGATGAATAATGGTTCCATTAAGCTTCTAGCTAACTGAGTACATTGCCAACATGTATTTATTAGCAGGAAGAGAATTTTGAGATAACTAATTCCCTTCGGCAAGCTATGACCAAACATGGCTGTCATATGAAATTTATTACAGTATACAGAAGTAAATCAAAGTTCCCACAGCCTTCTGCTAGAAACCGACCCGCTAAGCTGACTGTAGCTCCCTCAGTGATCTTAATGGCACCTACATCGATTTGACAGTGAAACAGACATCTTATATACCTTTACATACTAAGATACTCCCCCAAGACTTCTTAACAGCATGAACACAGCCCAAAGCCAAGGAAAATGTCAGCAAAGACATACTTACTTCTAAGGACTTGATAACAAGGGGAAAAAAAGGTTCCCAATTTTCTCCACTTACCCAAGAGTTTCGCGATGACATAAAGGGCTTGTCCCCAAAGAAACAGTTTTCCATCACGGCCACAGTTGCTAGGAAATCGCTTTTGACTACCAGGGTTTCTTTTTTCATGTTCTACAAAATCAGCTGGCACATAATAGTACTTTGGTATGACAGGATAACCTATGGAGTTCAAAAATAAATATTTAAAACAAACACAACAAATCAGTGAGCTCCCCAAGATCTCCCTTTGAGAAATTGCAATTATTAGAACGCAGAGAGAGAGAACAGCTGGTGACAGGAGGTGACAGATCCGACAGGACATAGAACATTGGATATTGTGGTTCCTTTCAGAAACTGCCAGTGAAAAATGTGCAAAAAGCTTCTTGACTTTAAAACACTAATTTGACAGCATTCATAGGTTATGCTTTAGCCAACAATGTGAACATAATCTCCTTTAACAACATTTAATTTTCACACCTTTAAGTGAAATCAACAAATACACTGTATGCAAATATTTAGAGCCATAGAAGAAGCTGTCTTTAATAGGATTAGTCTGTGGAAGCTTTACAAATGAGATACCGTGTAATCTTAAATGAAGAATTATAACCCTGAGCCATTGCTTAGAGCAATGAAATCTCCATTTTAAATATTAAGTCCATTATCTACCATTCAACATCACCTAAGAGAAAAAAAATCTATCTTCTCTTGTGACCAACCTGTTTAAAAAATTCTTTGGTAGAAACTAAAACTTATTAAAGACTAGAATCTTTGTGAATGATATGAAAGGGAAAACAACAACATTCTTAGACTCTTTTGCAGTATCAGCCCACAGTAAACTTAATTTTCCTAATAAAATTGCACAGGTTTCCCTAAAATTTGCTTCTTCCCTCATGCATCATCAATTGTGAGCTCTGTGTCTAAAATCGCTAGAAAGATACAGAGAATAGTTGAGACATCGCTTTCTGGATGTGATGAAGCCTGCAGTGCAGCATGCTAGCTCGCCCACCACCGCCGTGCACGACCCACCACTGACTACTAAAACGTCTGAGTCAAGAGGTTCCAAATGCGTTCTTCATTATATTATTATATTCATCATACTATAGTCATTATGTTCTGAATCATATTCACAATGATTCTGTGGAGCATAAACACATCAAGTAACTGGGTTTAAAAAGTAATATAAAATTTGAATTCAATGCTTACCCATAAACATTTCACTACTCTAACATTACAAGTATTTTAAAGGGTGACACATAATGTGAAGCATTGACTCTAAGATACTTGTGGAAAACCCTGCAGAATGTCACAAGTTTCATGTGACACAGGAATGGGGCTCAGTGCTGGGACTGCCAGCTTGTGTATCGTGTCAACGAGACCATCCATTTTGCACCGACACATAATTAATTTCTAACTTCCAGAGAAATATGCTTTCATAACTGCTCACTCATGAGAATATGTTCTTATTTTAGTAACACTTCCCAACACCAGAGATGTCTGGAACTTCTCCTCTGGAATTCCTTTCAGAATTAGTTTTCTAATCATGCAGAAAAATCACTTATGTTCTTTTATGGGCCCTACTGGTGTTTCGCTGAAGCCAATCTACTACTCAGAGGCTGGGCCTTTGATCTTTCTAAAATATCAAATCCCCCCTCAGAGGAAGCCATGTTAGCACCACTGCGGACATTCAAAACAACCTACTAACGGCCCTAGAGGCAACTCCAAAGAGGAAGCCCTCATGCCCCTGGCAATGGGAATGCCTTCCAGCCAAGGGCAGAGTCTCCAGGTGCCCTCCCACGGGGCAGCTTCCTCCTGAACACAGCGTTTCTGGTGACCTGGATAGAAAGCCATCACTTTATATGACTGTCATACTACACAGAGTAAAGGGGTGACACAGTAGGTAACAGAGGAAGAACCTGTACCCACCTGGCAAGCCATTTTGCAGTTACTATAGCTATGCCACCTACATTCATCACCTTCCTGTCTTGCTAAATGAACTCCTTTCACGAAAACAAACTTACTATAACAAATTAATAGATTAGTCTTTCTAATTCCTTCAAGGCCCCATTTATTTTTTCAATTTAGTATAAATTGCTCTTTTAAAAGGAATCATTTATACATTTCAAAGGAACATTAAGGAAATATTAATAGGAAGAATTTTTTGAAAAAACAATCCAACTATACCTTCCGTGGTCTGATGAAGTACAGGAGTCAGGAGATCCTGATATTCCTTTACTTGTTTGGGTTTGCCTCTAAAAACTCCTAGAAGGTAAAACATAAAATCCAATAGCATCTGAGCTCCCTCAGCACCACAGAAATTTTACCTTAGAAAAATCTATTAGCCCAGTTATAATGACTTTGGTAATTTTCCATATCAATGATAAAAATAAAATTGAAAAGGGGTAATGCAAATATGCATGTGATATTTTTCCAGGAAATCAATTTTAGAAGGTCATGTTACCATTTAGAATTGAAAACTGAATTTTAATTGAAATTTCTCTGTTCTTCAGTTTAAATGTTATAGATATTCACAGTGTCACAGATTGCAGTGTTCAAGATTTCTATTCATAAAAAAATTCTTCTTTGTAAATATGAAATATATTTGTATCATTTTAAAAGTAATTCAAAGTATTTTTTAAGTTTTTTAGATGATTTAACATTCACTCAGAAAGCAGGAGGGTAGCATATAAAAATGCAAAGCAGTACAAATCGCTGAGGTGCAGTCTATTTTGCCAGCTAAAAGGAGTCATATTTCATTTCTGCTCTTCTTTCGAGCACTTATATTCTATAGCTTGAATTTCCAGAGAAAAGCTCACTTACCATCAATCATCATGTAAAGGAAAAATATGGGAAATTCACATTCAATGCCATCAAATAGCTAAAACGGAAAATAAAATATTCAAAATTTCACTAACAATTATTTAGAACAATTATATTACTTAGAACAATTACATTAATTAGAACAAGTATAGTTAGGATATACAGAAAAGATTTATTTACAGTTATAACAAAATTTGACTGATTTTATAAGTGGTTTCATTGTTCTTTAAAAAAAAAATCTCTCAGAACTCCTATTATTCAAGAGTTCATTCATTTAATCCACCACATAGAAGTCATTCATTCAATTGATATTTACTAACAGTTAGTAACGCCCGGCACCCAGTAGGCAGAGGGTCGTGAAGACAAAAAGATGGAGAACCTGCCTTCAAGGGCTCCCAGCCTTGAGGAGGCGCACACATAAATAACCAACTGCAGTGCCTTACGAAATGTCTGTAACGATACATGCTATGTCAGGAACATAGGGGATGAAACACCTGAGTCTGCCTCGGGGTCAGAGGAGGGTTTCTGAGAAAAGATGCTTCAATGAATGCCTGATGGACTCTCTAGGGAGATGAGCTGTGGGAGAGGCTAAGTATCTTGCCCAAGGCTAGTAAGTGGCACAGCCCGAATTCCAACTCAGGAAGTCGGCCTCCTCAGTCAGTGCATCCTACCACCCCGTGATACTACCTGAGATGGGGTATTCTTTTCATACCTTAATTTCAGCTGGTTTGTAGTAGCGTCTGTTGGGATCTTCCAATGATGTTCTATACCCATCTCTCAAGAAACGCTTGAATCCATATTTTCCTTTTAATTTCCTAACCACTTTATCAAGTGTCTGGCTAAACAGAGCTTCATCATCCAGGGCAAATGCAGGGTAACTGATGCAGGGGAGCAGAGCGGCATCTGTGTTCTGGGGCAATAAGAAAAAGAAGGGGTGTCGGTGCCTACAGTGTATGACCAACACAGCCCAAGGAGAGTCACAGGGGTGAAGTCAGCCAAGGGCCTGCCTGCCAGGGAGGCCGCTGTGCTCAGACGGACAGCAGATGGTCACCTGTGTGTTTTAGCGACCCTGACAGAGGAGACAAAACTTCATTCCTTAATAAGGAGTATTTTCAAGTTTCAACACCGAATGCAAACTTTAAGATGTTAATTAAGGCAGTGTGTAAAAATTTGATGCCAGTAACTAGTCATTGCAGCTTAGCTTGTTGTAACAATTTGTTTATGATAGTGAAAAGCACAGAACAATCTAAATGTCCAACAGTTAGGTGAGTAAATTAGCAGCCATTAAAATTTATATTATAGAAATGTTTATTGGTATGAAAGCATGTGTGCTCATAGAACTAGGTTGTCAAGCATTATGAACAATATTCTGCCAGCTTTGTAAAGTAAAAATATTATGTGTACATAAAATATATGGGAACATATAAACACAAATGTTGTCACCCTAAGATTATAACTGAGTAGTAAAATACTGAATAGATATTGTATTATTATTTGCATATTTGTGGGTTTTATTTTTCTTTTGTCAAAATCTTGCATTACTTCTATACAATAGTTATTTTTAAATAATTAAATTATTCCATCTTGGCTGTTTTCTAAAAATAGAGCCACAAACAGCCCCTAGGAAAATCTGCAATGGGGTACTACGGGCATATAAAAGTTTATCAGAGATAACAATAGTAAATGGTAGCTCGTATTAATTTATTATAAAAACATCTCACATGAGATCTTGACTCTCTGGGAAGCAGTGAGCACAAAGTCTGCCTGTTGCAGTTGTGAGCATCGAGGTCCACAAATATAACCGACCAAGAACAGCCCTGGAATGAGAAAGAGCAAAATGTCTCCTAAATGAAGAAAAAAGGACTTGTAGCAAGACGGGCATTAAGAAAATTCACAAATACACTAACACTGGTTGCACCTGAGAGTGGCATTACAGAAAATTTCAATTTCCTTTTTTATTCTTTCAGTATTTCTCAAATTTCTTGCAATATACATATTAATTTTACAATCATAAAAAATAAATGTTATTTTTATATTTTCTCTATTTCTCCTTAGTTTTCTTATAGTCTTGGGACATGGAGTAGAGAGCGGGAACGGATTCAATGGAATTGTAATAGATAAGCATGATATCGGGGGTGGGAGGGCAATAGATGGGGGGGGGGGGTTGTTACTTTGTGAGGGAAAAAAGGGTAACTATTGTATTGTTCTGTACACCTGAAACTAACAATAAAAATAATAAATTAAAAAAAAAATTATTCGAGAAAAAAAAATGTACTGATTACCAGATAACTAATCAATTAAAGATATTTATTTTAATAAAAATACAAATACTAATTTAGCTAACATTTTTGACAAGAAATAATGCAAAAACTAATTCCAATTCATAAAATCTCATTGTATGGTCCTAATAAAGAACACTGATTATATGATCAAACTAAACAAATTTAGATATAATCTAGAATCATGAATATAAAAACTGCTTGATTAAATCTAATCAAATTTAGAATCTAATATACAAGTATTTTGAAAATCAAAGAGCATGAAATTGGAATATAAAGACTGCTTCTATTACAAAAGAATACTCAGAAAACACATGGGGAAAGGAAGAAGAAAACTACCATAAAAATTATGTCGGTTCAATATTACCTTCTAAATCTCATCCCAATTCTCACCAACACTGAAGATGCATTCACCCTGAAACTAAAATACCTCTGATCAATCAATCACCTAGACTGAAATTCAAAGCAATCTAGTCGTCCTGGGCCCTACATCCATATATCGGCCTCAATACATGCGTATTTTTCCTGTTAATCCATGTTCATACATGAACCTGAGCTCAGAAAATAGAATTTTTCATTCATATCATTTCTTAAATCTGTTTTAACTCTGACAAATCAATCAACAAACAAGGAATGAATAAGGCTGTCTCTCAACAGCCAGATTATTGCTAAACTGTTCGTTCTATTATTTGTCACTCTTATTCTCTCTACTCACAAAACCGGGTTTAACAAAGCTTTATGCAGTAGCTGCCACTGTCAGAGTAACAGTGTGTTCTCTGCTTTGAGGGAAACAAACAGGGTAGAGTTTGACCTCTGTTCTTAAGGAGCTGACCCAGGTGATACACAGTCCTGAACCAGATGACCACTAAACAAAACAAAAGTCTGTCCAGGAAAGAATAACAATGATACTGAACCTGTAAAGGTAACAGGAGAAAACAAAACAGGGAACTCAGGGTGCTTCATGGGAAAGGTGAGGACCAGAGCTAGGACCTGAGTTTTGGGGGAACGGGAGCAAGTATGGGTGTTGGAACTAAACAGCAGAGAAATGAGTGGGTGTGAGATGTGCAGCGCCTGTAAGTACACAAATAGGGCTTGTAACTGACCCTTAGGCTGATGATAAAGTTAATGACATGCCATATCAGTCTGCTTTGAGTTGGATTTTTTTTTTTTAAGAAATTTTTATTGGGGAACAGTGTGCTTTTCCAGGACCCATCAGCTCCAAGTCAAGTAATTGTCTTCAATCTAGTTGTGGAGGGCGCAACTCTTTGGCACATGTGGGAATTGAACCAGCAACCTTGGTGTTATAAGCCTGCACTCTCACCACCTTAGCTAACCGGCCGCTCTGAGTTGGATTTTTAAAGATACAGTCTAAGTAGGATAATTTATACATAATGAAGTGAAATGGCAAATTTGGCAATTCTTGCCATTATTTAATTCATATAAACAGCCAACTTCTATTTTCTAGCCACATATAAACATGGCTTATTTATCTAAATTCATCAAAATATTTGTTCAGGCCTCTTTCTCTGAGAGCCTCTAAAAAATATGGCCAAGGGGAAAAATAATCTTATATCACTGTATTTTAACATTGAGGTCAAAGGCTAGTTAACTACATTGTTTCTTGTCCTCTTAAAAGATGGACCATATGTTAGGCATATGGCCCAATTGACAGGAGGATAAAATTCACCCAGGGCCATAGGCAGCTATTCCTATTCAGAAGCAAACTTTGAAAAATGTCATCAAGGAGATCGTACATATGGAATTAATTATCACCTACTTTAAATTATCAGACACATTCATTTTAAGCCTTCAGATTTCAAAAGAAGCTAATACATCTGCACTGCTTTGAACACTTTGTGTAACGAGCAATTTCTCTAGTCATCACCTTTTAGGTTCTGGCCTCATCTTTTTTTTTTGTCAATATTATGATTTTTCCAATTAAAGACAGGAATATGAAAGGATGTTTTATATGTCATACAGAATATTTGATTGACTTCGGATATTTTATCCATCTTCCATTTCCCGAAATCATCACAACTCTGCCATAATATCATGACTCCATCAAAAGAGCACATTTTCAGACAGACAGCTCAAACCTGACTCCCAAACTGAGTTTCTGTGACTATTTTCTAGTAAATACATGACGCTACATGACGTCCCCATGACTTACTTGACTTCATAACCGGAGGTCTATGCCTTTTGACCCCCTTCACCATCTCACCCACCGCATTACCCCACCTCTGGCAACCACCACCCGGTTCTCTGTGTCTATGACCTTGGACCTTTTGTTTTGTTTTAGATGCCCCACTTAGTGAGATCACCTGGTACTTGTCTTTCTCTGACTTATTTCATTTAGCATAGTGCCCTCGAAGGACATCCATGTTGTTGCAAATGTCAAGATTTTATTCTTTGGTGGCTGAATAACATTCTACTGTGTATACATGTACATGCCACCTCTTCTTCATCCATTCATCCATCAGTGAACACAGGTTGCTTCCATATCTTGGCCATTGTGAGTAACTCTGCAATGCCATTCCTTTACGCCTTATTATCCTCCTACTGTTTCCTCCCTTCCTCTTCCTCCCTCCCCTCCCTTCCCCCCCTCTTTCTCCCCCCCCAACACACACACAGTCATACACACATTCACACATTTAAATGCATGTATTGAGAGTGAGGCAGGAAAAGGAAAAAAAATATCGAAAGATACACGTGGGATTTCCACGAGTCTTTGACTCTTCAGGGAGTGAGAAATGTTTTGACAAGCCAAGTGCCCGAGGCTCCAGAATCTCCAGGAGAGGCATAACATTTGGACACAGGCTTTTCATAGGCTCACACCCCCCCAAATCCCCACGGGCTCTGATCCCTCCATTTCTCCAGCCAGAGGACTTGAGAGAGGAAGAGTATGTGAAATGTGTGGTTTAGAGTCACCTCCTGGGCACCCACAATGAGGTGTTGCTCCCCGCTTCCCAGTCCTTTCATGTCTGTGGCCATTCTTCACGTCCTGGATATAACCAGAATCCATCCTCCAGAGGAAGTTGGAGTGAGAAGAGACGGGTTTGTGTGGAGGGAGGGGAAGGCAGTGCTGTGCTGCCACACTCCAACTTGAAACTTTCTTCAATTCAGACTGGAGGTACATGGTATTCAAACAGCCATAAAAAGCCATGTCACATTTTGCGTGTCTGTATAACTTCCTCAAATGTATCTCTACCAACTTAGCATTTTAATAGCTTGGAGTAAATTATATCTTCCTTTGTCCTTCCATCTTAGAAATCTTTATAAAAACTGCTCAAGAAAATTAGCCTACTTCTTGATCCAGAGAAGTAACCTGTCTGTTTATAGTTTTATTCCTTTCCATCAACAATTCAATCCATGGTCATAGGATGAGGTGCAAAAACTGGTTAAAGACCTTATAAAAATTTAAGGCAACCCTCAGGGTTTCCCTTCTATTGCAAAGAAAATGAGATTTAGATACATGATTACAGCCAGTTGAGGGTTAAGCTAGGATCCAAGCTTACAATTGTTTAGCTGTACACATTGCACAAATTCCCCTCTACAAGAGGTAGACACGGATATACATTAAATTGAAACCAACATGAAAACTAACATGAAAAATACATGGCCTATAATGCCAGAAATATTTAAAAATGTGAAAGCTCATCAAGAGACTTGAGGGATAAGTCACTGAACAAAGATAATGAGAATTCTTTATCAAGAAATTTTATTTAATTAAGCAACGTTTTTCAGTTAGAAAACTAAAATTTAACTGGCAAATTATATTCAAAGTGAAGCTTGTTCAAACATGAGCTGCTACATAAATTTCAGACATTCTCTAATCATAAGGAACGACTTGGTTAATGAGTGGCCAAATTAATTAAACATGTAACTCAAAAAAAAATAATCAAAGTTTGTTGTTGCTATGGCTGTTTTTTTTACCTGGTTGCCGAAGAGGTTAAATCCATTAATTGCTTCTAGAGCTGCTTTTGCTAAGCCAATAGAGCTGAAAGAGAAAGGAAAGTACTTTATAACTCTGATATATTTGGCTACAAAAATAAGAACCATTATCTGATGAATATTCACAAGCAAGTTTCTTTATTAACACTTATAACAACTTCTGCAAGAAGAAGAATATCTAAGAGACTTCAGTCTGACATTTCAGTATTTTAATTTTTCTTTTTTATGGCTAGTGATCTTTTGGGAAAAATATTTCTAGGTTCACCTTGATCTAGACAAATGGTCATACAATTGATGGGAGTAGTTTTAATTCTAGCCTCATTTATATTCACTAACTCGGGGGGGGGGGAGCATGAACTTTAGAGGACGGTGTATTAAGATGACATGCGCACAGTAATGACCAGGTTAGGCTTCGTTAGTTTAGATCAACGTAAAAGAGTTTTTCTGATGTCAACTCTGGGCCTTAAAGAGATCTCGCACATCATACATTTATCACAAGTGTGGTTTAATATACCCATTCAAAAACTTGCTGCTTAGAAACTAATGAAATAGGCATTCTTTTATGCTCACAGAACAACTGATGACCGTACCTCTCATTTTTTGCTATTTTCTTCTCTTTATAATAAAATGTATACTCCTTTGGACTCTCAAATGCCACACATAACACAGTGCTGAGAAATGGGAAGACCCAAATTTCATTAAAATATGACACTGTCACTTAAATACCACCTTTTAAGTATTTTAGACCTAATAGCCACTGTATTTTACTTAAAGCAATATTTTTTCTAAAAATATCTGCATATACCATTAATATCATTTACAATGAATGATCTGTCATCGTGTCTGCATTTCTCTAAGGTGGTGACTAACAAAGTGGGGTCCCCAGCACAGCAGCATCACCCCAGAACTGCTCAGAAATGCCAGCTCTCACTCCTCCCTGGGAGGGGAGCCCAACAACCAGTGTTACCAAGTCCTTCAGGTGCCTCAATACATTTGAGAACCACTGTTCTAAGCTATTCATGTCGTCACGACCTACATTTTCTATGGGTTGTTTACATGAAATGCTGTCAGGGAAGCATTACTTTTATTATGGGATAGTGAGTAGATGGGAAACTTCAGCTCCCAGCTGGCCCTCTGCTTTAGGGTGCGGGGCCTTGGAACCCAGCCACCACGCTGAAAGGAGGCCTGTATGGGACAACTTCATACAGGCTTTTTGGACGACAGCAACAATCTATTCCCCGAGCGAGGAGGCCTTCAGGCTGACTCAGCCCCGCCACCACTGACGGCAAGCACATAGCGACCCCAAGCATGAAGCACACAGCTTAGTCCGGTCAAACCTCAGAACCATGAGAATGAATAATAATAAGAGTGTTGTCTAGGCCTCCAAATTTGGGGTGGCTTGTTCGTGACAACAGGTAACCAGAAAACAACCTAAATCAGGTTCCTAACTCTGTGATGTCCCCAGAACAAGGAGGCCAATCACATTCAGCCTCACACACTACAAAAGACAGCCAAGCAGGACCTGCGCAAGATTCCAGACCTTCAGGACCAAGGCCCGGACAGCTCCTAGGCGGTACATCAGCCGGCAGGCAGTTCATGCCAAAGCACTCACTGTTGACTCATTTGCATGCTTAGCAATGTGCTCCTGAGGTCCTAGGAGTTCCCCATTAGCCCAGGGCGCACATATTTACATGCTCTTAACTGAGTAACACCAGAAAACCCCCACTTCCAGCGTGAGGAACATATGCTAGCAGTATTTTGAGAAGTGAGAGAAAATAACTTATTCAAAGGCAACTACATGAGAAATTCTGTGCTGGAGTAGATGCACAGTGTAGCGAGCCCAAGGTTCTGTCTCTAACAATGGAGCCAAAAGACAGCTGAGGGATGGATTTGGAAATCGTCTTCTAAATAAAGCATTTAAAAAGAAACGAACAGTGTACTGGGCTAGAGTAAATGTCAAATTCTTTCCACTTTGATTTTCTTTCCCAATGCGATTGGTGAAATAATTGGACTTAACTGAAATTTACAAATATGTTAATTTATTACCCACTGGATATTGAAATCTCTGACAAGAAGCAAGTTGTTTAAAAAATGGAACACTCTTCATGTGATCTTACATTTGACTGGTGAGTGTAATATATAATGTTGTAAGAATTAAAAATATTTTACTGGCACAAAACATTCTCAGAAAATTGAATTAGTCTATGATTAGCTCTTGTATATGTTACTATTAGGTAACAAGTATCAATAGAACATTCACCAATTTGATGTTTGCAAGGTGTTACTTCAACATTCACTTATGAGGGCTAAACTAAAGTGATGTTTGCTGGGGAGATAGTTTGCAATAAAGTAATTTCTTGCATAAATCAAAGCCTTTCTACAAAAGATGATGGGTTTGCACTAGGTGATTTATAACCCACCATGGAATCCAAACAAAATGAATGGCAAGCACGGGGATTAAATTCACAATCTCCTGCTCATTAACACGACGCTATAACTCCCCAAGCTACCCAGTCACACTTCCTAAAAGAAAAAGGACGTTACAGTACTACGGTTTTAATGGATGCTCATGAATTGTTCAATACAGAAAAATACACACAATAAAGCAGAATGGATGGCTAGTTGCTGCTATTGTAGCTCAAAAACTGGAATATCAAACATGACTGAAGAAGATTAAGGAGTTACTTTAGATAAAAAGCACTGTGTGGAATAAAATGGTCACTGAAAGCATCTTCAGCTGAGTAAAGTGGTGCTATGATGGTTACTCATCTGACATTTAGTGATGACTTTCCTTATTGGAAAAGCCAAGAGAATAGAACATAGACCCATCAAAAAAACCCTTGAAAAATCCGATTTAAGCTTGCTTTGCTTCTACAATCTTGCAAATACAAGAATCAAAAACATAAAACATGAAATTATGTTGTTAAATGTAAAATCTTATTTAGCAGTTAATGTTTCTAAACCTCTTCTTTCCATGTGGCCATCATCCACATCACTAATTTATTAAGTACAGTTTTCCCTTTTGCTTCCCAACAACCAAAAAAATTCAAAGTTCAGTTTGGGATTCAATTCACATTTTATAGACTCATCTCTTTGCCAAAACAAAAGGGTTTGGGTTTAAAGGATTAAAGGTAGCCCTAGGGAGTAGGAATATAAGTACATAAACGAGGAGAGGGAAATATATAGATTAAAATACGTGTGAACTAATCTTGGAGCAGCTGAGAAGGTTACTTGGCTATGTAATCCTGGGGGTAAAGAATTAGTGAGACAATAAATAGGCACCAAAATGACATATGAAGGCCATGTAATTAATCAAATATTAGAATACAGGATTTTTAAATGGATGGGCATTTATTAAAAGACTGAGAGAAGATATAAGAGAAAAGAGGAGAATCTGAGAGTTTCAGACACCCGAGGAGACGCTGAGAGGGGTCTGAGAAGAGCCAAGTGAGCAGAAAGGTCAGGAGAGCAGGGTGGTTGTTTAGGAAACATTTTAAGAGAATCGCAATGTGCTCAGAGCACAGGATCCCTAAACTACAGCCCTGCAAAGGGTGAGGCTCCTGCTCGAATAGGGTTCAGATAAATGCAATGACATCACCTTTTAGAAAAAAATCATGGCGTTATGTAAGAAATACTAAATAATTCAAGAAATTGAACTGAAAGGGATGCCAGCAAACCTGGGGCTGAAAAAGGCCGCGCAGGGTGGGTCTGACCAAAGCGTTAGACTGAATCAAGCTGCACTGATTATCAAGTGAAGATATCCTTGAAACATACCACAATTTCACCAAGCAGGTCCACTCTGCTGTTTTTCAAATTTTAGAAAAGCTTTTTAACACTTTAAAACACAATGTGATACAGTAAAAACAACTTGGATATTCTTAGCTACAGTGTCCCAGGTTGCAATTATTAAAGGGCTACTGAGCACGATGCTGAAGAGGGGGCCTTGGACTTCAGAATAGTGTGTATGCGTGTGAGTGTGCGTGTGTGTGTGTCGGTGTGTGTCTGTCTGTGTGTCAGTGTGTCTGGGTGTGTCAGTGTGTGCGTGTGTGTGTGTGTGTGTGTGTCAGTGTGTCTGGGTGTGTCAGTGTGTGTGTGTCAGTGTGTGTGTGTGTCTGTGTATGTCGGTGTGTGTGGTGTGTGGTGTGTGTGTCAGTGTATGTGTCGGTGGGTGTCTGGGTGTGTGTGTGTCAGTGTGTGTGGTGTATGTTAGTGTGGTGTGTGTGTGTGTGTGTGTGTGTATGTCAGTGTGTGTGGGGTGTGTGTGTGTGTGTGTGTGTGTGTGTGTTGGGGGCCCACAGCAGTGCTCCTCTTTGATCAGAGGGCATCTTAGAAAACATGTGCCCAGTGTGGAAGGGAAGGAAGAGACATTCATCAAGCCAGTCACCTTGACAACGCCCCAGGGCGCACCAAGGCACCCCAATCCTTGATGACTCTGTTCTCTGACTCCTGCGAAGGACAGAGAGAGGGAGAGGGGCACAGGAGGTCCGAAGGCAAAAGGCAGTGAGTACCTGCAGCAAGAATTACTGTACACTGTTTCAGGCTTACAGATATCACATGAAGCAGTCAAGATCAGATCCCACTAGGCACAGACAGTTCTGAGGTGTCTTACAGAAGCAACAGACTGAGTTGTGACAACCCTGGGTGTCGGCACCCCTAAATTCCACGACCCAGGCATGAGCACAGAAAGATACTGGCCACGGCCACTGCTATCGCTGCATCCATGAGCGCCAAGTTCTCCTGCAGTTTCAAAATAGACCCAGAAGTGACACATCCAAAACAGGCTGTGGAGATGAGCTCAGAAACATTTGAAAAAAAAAATGTCTAAAGTTATTCTGGGGAATTGTGAAGTGTTATACTATGGAAAATCAGAAGGAAAACGTTAAATGTATAAAACCAAATCTAAATGACATCCTTCATTTCCCATCCATTCCAATAAAATTTGCCTGCAAAAATTAATTTAATTTTGCATGCAAAGGGTAGCAAAGAACCTCGCATAATGAACTCTCAAGCCTTGAAATAAAATCTTTAATGAATGATTCAATTTAAAGACTGGCACCTTTGTTACAAGAAAACAAATTGGAGCTTCTTTTTTTTTCATTAGGGGCCTTCCAGCACCCTCACTCTCTAGGGTTCATGGTAACTTCTACCCAAGGTTCTTTCTGCTAACAGCAGGTCCTCAAATATCGTTTCATTCAATGTCGTTTCACTGCCACACTGGTGAGAAAAAGGAACATTGCTCGTCGGCAGGGCCACTGGAGTTCGCAGGTTCTCATGTCTGCATGGGTATTCTCTAGGGATTCTGGTTTCTTGCCACATCCCGAAGATGTGCACATTAGGAGGGAGTGTCTACACTGTCCCAGGACGAGAGAGTGCGGGTGTGTGTGAGTGGCCCCGCGATGAAACGCGTCCTGACCAGGCTGGGGTCCCACCTTGCACCCTCAACTGGAAAATCATTACCTTACTTGTTTTTATTCATCTTTCCTAAATGTATATAAAACTCACACTGCTTTCAATGTTTAATATGAGAAGTGTTTGGGGTCCTTAATTAGAAGTTTGGTGATGTTTCAGTGACCAGGAATATGCTGTAGGAGTTTTTGTATATCAATCAGCCTGTTAAAATTGGTTTCGTTATGTCATTTGGCTTCAAGTCACAGTTTCCAAGAACCCATCAACAGTGTTAAGTGAGGATTTACTGAACTACAGTTTTTATAAACTGAAAAACCCCTACTTCAAACATTTTATACTTAAAATAATGTCTGCTCACTGAAAAGCAGAAGGGGACGATAAATCATAAACAATGAAAACGCAAATGTTTAATAATCACCTTTTCTTTCCACTTTCTTTCTTATAATTTGACTGATAATCTGGAACTTAATTAAGTTGAGAACTAAATATGGATGATGGCTGACATAATATTATCTTCCTGGTTTTTTTATTTGCCAGAATTTGTCTTACGTTTGAGCTGAACGTTCCCACATATTATTTCTCTTCTTCACTGACTCCTCCACTGAACGCTACTGTCCTGCTCTCTATTATAAAAATCTCTCATGTGAATCATTAAACTTATAGAAAAGTGTTCGTATATTAGTTAACCTGAAGGTCCTTTTTGTTTCAAAATGTGTATTAAAATATTCTGAAATGTGAGAATACACTTGTATTCTAGTGCTTACTTATGCCAGGTATTCAAATGCTACACACACACACACACACACACACACACACACACACACACACGCGTGCGTGTATATAAAATATAAAATGTTAACACAATCATTACAACTTTATGCAGTAGAAACTATTGTTATCTTCATTTTGTAGGTGAGGAAGCTGAGGCATTAGAGATGTTACACAGCTGCCGGCCTGGAGTCAGTCTTGCCCTTATTGAGTATCTTGTATCAGCTTAATTTTCTGTGTGATTAGTCCTTCTATCCAAAAAAGTATAGAGCTGCAGATTCCTCTTAACCAGTGTTTCCTAAACTCTTTCTCTACTTCATTTAAGTCTCAATAATCTGAGCTGACCTACAGCTGATAACCTTTCAATTCTTCAGTCTTTTAGTGTGAAATGGATAGGACTAATTGAGCTACACTTTTTAGTTAAAAGATGACCTCCTAGGCATAAATTTAGAATATTTAAAAGGGCAATAAGTCACTAAAGCTATTTCCCTAACCCTAAGGAGGTAAATGAAATTCATAAACTATTAACATCAGTCATCAGCTACTGGTTTATTTGAACCAACTAAACCATAGCCCAAGCCGCTGATCACACCTCTTAACAACGAATGTTAAGTTTTATGTAAAAGGTAAGAACATCTCTGGTTAGGATAAAAATCAGTTCTAGAACATGGAAGGGAATTTTACACGCAATGCACATATGCTGGTGTTCGGCAGTTTGAATGTACTTGGTCTTTCAAAGAGCATCACTGCAAAGAGGAGAAAGCAAATGAGCTGGCTGCGCGGAAGGCCGAGTCATGGATCGGAGGCTGATGCGCAGGTGCGGACCCGGGGGAGGCTGGGAAATACACCCTGCTCCTTTCTGCACCTGCTCGTGGGCACTGAGACAGGCTCTTTTGCTTTAATTTTAAGTGAGTTTCATCTTCATCATATACAGGAAAAAAAATGAAAATTACAGAAACCACAGTTCCAATCTAATACTCTGATTTTTATTCATATTCAAATGCACACATTTAAATTTTAAAAAACACTCAGAAATCGGCAAGTTACCTTGAATGTAGCTCTGTGCTGCCATTATTATATTTGCTTCCTCTTTCCCAGACACCAAAGTCAGGCACACGGTAAACTCTTTCTACACAAAACACAAGGTTTTGAATAAAAGAGACCTAAAAAAAAAAAAGGGAGGATGAAACATGCAGTAACAGGATCTTCAGATATTTGTGAGAACAATTAGATGCCATTTGAAATCCAAATACCTAGTTGGCTACCAACACTTTTTTAACATGTTGAAATTTGTGTGGTGATTACATTACTACTATGAATACTGTGTTACACCTGGTTATTCTACTATAAAGCCTAAAATGAAAACCTAATATTGTACCATACAAGAAGATGATTAAAATCCTGTCAATGCTTCAGCTATGATTCGTCAGTGATGTATCTATTACTGTTCCTGAGGGCTGTGCATCTTAAAAATGAAGAAAAATGTAAAGCACTGTTTTGTACTAGATCAGCGGCTCTCAACCTTCCTAATGCCGCGACCCCTTAATACAGTTCCTCATGTTGTGGTGACCCCCAACCATAAAATTATTTTCATTGCTACGCTGTAACTGTAATTTTGCTACTGTTATGAATCGTGATGTAAATATCTTTTTGTTTTCCGATGGTCTTAGGTGACCCCTGTGAAAGGGTCGTTCGACCCCTAACGGGGTCGCAACCCACAGGTTGAGAACCACTGTACTAGATGATAAGATTTGGAATCTAAACTGCCCATATGATGTTACATGAGTCTAAGACTTTGGAGATAAGACGGTATTTCTCAGCTCTGCCACAAGCCGGGCCCACGCCGGGGCAGCCCAGAGTCTCGAGTGTTTTATCCTTGCCTCTAATCTTCCCCCACCTTTGTATAACTACCGGTTCCTCTTCTTATAAACTCAAAGCTTAGAGTTAGAGGTGAGCTCCAAACACCAGACCAGGAGTCACATAGCTTCCAAATAAACATTTCAGACATTTGATGAAATTTACACTCTCAAAAGTCACTAAGGAAAGCAAAGATTATAGTCAGTTTTTATTTATTCATTTTAAGAAAGGCAATATCTTAGGTGGGCCACCGGTCCTGATTACAGGGTTTTGAATGTACACATCATGTTTGGCTCAATATGGCAAACTGAGTATGGGCATCTCTCTCTCCCCCCCCCTTTTTTTTTTTTTAGCTGAGCCATCCTACCACTTGTTGGCAGCTCAGCGGCAGCCCAACTCGGGCCGGGCATCGAACCACTGTTGCTCAGAGCTCACACTCTTGAGCGAGCTCTTAACCAACTGAGCCACTCGGCCGGCCCTTGATTATGGGCATCTCGCCTACCCTTCACCTCCAGGTCCTCTGAAGTGACAATACATACACCCCATCTCCACTCTACATGTACAGAATGAAAGAACGTTTAAAAAGCCTCAGTGTATAAGAGACAAAACACATCTTAATAAAAAAAGTTTCTCTACCAAACTAGAAACTACTGATTAGGAGGCTGGCCCCCAATCATACCCAAGTAGTCCCCTCCCACCCTGGATGCAATAAATAAGATACAGTAAAGTGACAGATGGTGACTTCTGAGGCCAGGTCACAGAACAGAAAACACTATACTTGTGTTTGGCTCTCTTGCGTTGCTTGCTCTGGAGGAGGTCACCTGCCATACTGTAAGAACAGCCAAGCAGCCCTGCCCACAGCCATGTGAGTGAGTGAGCATCTCAGTTCTCCAGTCTCAGTGAAGCCTTGACGGACAGCAGACCTGGCTGACAGCTTGAGTGCAACTATGTGAGACCCCGTGTCACTGCCACCCAGCTCAGCGGCTCCTGAATTCCTGAAACTATGAGATAATAAATGTTCAGTCTTTTCAGTCCTGGGATGATCTGTTATACAGCAATAGGTAACTGAGACAAAAAGAAATTCCACGTGTCATTCTATCTGAAGAGGTCTGAAAAGGGCTTCTAGGTCAGGTGGAAGAAGATACCTTCGCAAAATACAAAATAAATAGCACATGAGACCCAATCAGTGAAGGAGATTGTGTCACACAGGTCTCACTCAGGTCGCACAGCACCCACAGGCTTTGGCAGTATTTCTACTACTATAAAACTTATAACCTCGTAGACACAGACAATGGTTCAGTGGTTACCAGAGGGGGAGGGGGGGGAAAATAGTAGAAGAGAGTAAAGGGGATCAAATATATGGTGATGGAAGGAGAGCTGACTCTGGGTGGTGAGCACACAATGTGATATATAGATGATGTGTTACAGAATTGTACACCTGAAACCTATGTAACTGTACTAACAATTTTCACCCCAATAAACGTTAATAGAAAAAAAAACAAAAATAAAAACTTACAACCGAAACTCCCCTTAAGGAGCCAAACAAGCACCGTCTGGCCATTCCTGAATAAACAAGCTTTCAGCCACAGAAGCAACACTCAAGCACGTTGATCTAAGGGACTGGAGCAGGCAGGACCATCTGACGAACTTGTCAGTACAGCTGGTTCAACAGACCATCTAGTGTAAGCCCCAATTCATGCTTATTTCCTTAAATTTTAAGTTTATAAGAAGGATATCTAAGGTAACTTTTTTCTAAAATGACATGACACTGTGACATCATTACAGGACACCAAGGTTAGTCATAATACAGGAGAAGGGGCACTAGAATCCATACAGGTAGCTTCTCTACTTCATTGTATAAACGTTTAGCTGATATAACTTAACACAGAGACATACAATTAACAGGTTTTAATACCTTAATTAAAATAAAAGCAAATGTAAAATATAGGAAGGGGAGACTAAATTTTAACCTTGTATCTTCACCTTCAAGGTATTTTCCAAAACTTATAGTTGTGGTATCACTGAAGTCTAGAAAAATCCCTTCTTTATAAAAGAATTATGAGTCTTTTCATATAATGAAGTTTTTCTACAAAAAGCAGGAAAACACCTTAAACACAAAACAAAATCTCATTTGTTATACGAGTTTGGGGGATAACATGGGGCTCTTTGATTTTTGAAAAGTTTCTCTGGACCCATTTCTGAATGAGTCCTTTGTTTCTTTTCATCTGCTTTTAGGAAATGTATTTATGGAGGGTGTCCTGGACTGTCACACAGAATGCCACATGACAGTTCATCACATTGCCCCTTCTGACAGATTACCTCCATTAAGTCATCTCCACAGGTAGACAGAGGACTGAATTAGGTGAATTTTATATTTAAGTAACAGATATATAATATTTATCAACATATATTTCAAATATGTAAGTTTAACATATATAATGGATTTCTCCTCAGATAAAGAAGAGAAAGTAAATAACAGTATCAGGACAGAACTGCAGAACTTTGCCTCTTTCAGCTTTTATTTTGAATAAAAAGCCAGTCTCGTGCACTGCGATACTTTTACAGACACCAGTGCAGACTGTGTTTGCATCAAACATGACATGTGTGTGTGGGCGATGAAAGATGGCAGGAAATGGGTGGGCACTGCCTTCCTGCCCTTACAGGACGCCCCCAGCAAAGCTCATCAGCACAGACACTGGCACTCAGTATGTTCAGAGCACCTTAGGGAGACAATGGCCTTCTCCTTAAGGAACTAGGTGTGGGTACCAAGTTTATAAGAACAAGAGAATCAGTAAAGCTAGGATGATGAGCTGTCAAAAGAAGGAAAATGGCTTATTGAAAAACCCAAGTGCTGACAACATAATATGTATGTTATATTACATGTATGCTTGCTTTTTCATGTGTGTATGTGTGTGTGTCTGTGATATACATATATGTCTCCCCAAACTATGCATTCTTCAATCCTAAGTAAAAGAAGGGTTTGGAGAAATTAAAACTTTAATAGTAAATAGCAAAAGAAATGAGTGGGAGCCCCACCTCCTCCCCAGGCTCTTGGACTGCCCTGAAATGTAAATCTGGTTGGTAACAACAACAAAAAAAAAAACCAAGGGAAAGAGAGAGAGAGAGAGAGAGGACTACAAACTTGACTTTCCAGGGCATAAGGTATAGTTAGAAAAGAACAGGGTTCCAAGTCGTAGCACCTTTCAGAGGATCCATTTCTCTGAAATATTAGCAAGAAGGAGCCCCCTCCACTGGGGGTTCTAAGCGGCCATTTTCTGCCTCTCCATACGATCCTTGACACAGTGTATAAAGCTTCCAGGAAAACATTGGTGAGTGGCTATAACATGTTATTATTCCAGGATTTTAAGTGGGCATGTTGAAGGCTTATTGATATTGGCTAGATAAAAGCTTTATATTACCACATAAAACCTATAAGGCCAAGAGAAAGCATGAGAAAAAATTTAAAAATAAATTTAAGAAGAAAATACCAAAATTGTTTAAATATAGAAAAGCCATATAAAACAGAATGTGACCGTTAAAGCAACATCATATTTAGGAAAAATGTCAGTTGACAAATGAAGATTTAAAATAGTGATCACACAATGTGATATATACGTGATGTATTACAGAATTGTACCCTTGAAACCTAAGTAACTTTATTAACCATTGTCACCCCAATGAACTTTAAAAATAAATAAATTAATCAATCAAAATGAACTATGGCAGATATTGAGAAAAGACAAAAATAATGGTTTTTTTTGAGAAAAAACAAAATAAATGTTAAAAATTGAAAATGAAAATACCAAATGAACAAAGCCATCACTAACAGAGGCCATTTCTGCACCATCAGTCACATGAATGGGAAATCTCTGGCAACGGCCATGTTAGCTGCCTCAGTTGTCAATGGTTACCATCCTGTGTTCTGCTCCTCCCTGTGCTCTGGAGCTGCTATGGGTGGGAAGAAATGGAAAGCTAAATGGGCTGGTTCTGGGAGCCCTCCTCTCCTTAGTCAGGGACACACTTCCTTTATTTGTTTTATATTTAGGATGCTGCTTAAGATTGGTCTGAAATAGGAGTCTCCCAGCCCCTCACCTACCCAAAATGTTTGAATAGCAGTATTTCACAACATTACTAAAAATGAGAATGATTTAGATGAAATGAAAACATAAGTCTTAATGAACCAAACAGAAGAAAACTGAAGTGGCTATTTTTAGTTCCTCTGTATCATTATTTCTTCTTTATCCTTTCTCTTCATTTCGAAGCAGACTTTACTTGCTGTAATTAAAAGGCCCAACTGGAAGGACCCGCAAGACTGTGACTGACTGGAGGGCAGGATTCCACGCACCGGCTTCCCAGGGGTCTCGCGCAGCCACCGAGGACCCTGTGTCTGTAGACGAGACAAGCTTTGCCCCTGCGTGGGTCACGGGACAGGAGCACACAGCCTGCCTTCTCTCGGATGGACTGCCCGTCACATGCACCATCTCGGGAAGAAAAGCTTTCTGTCCCCCCTGTGGCACATTTCACAGTGTGTTGGCATGTGTGTCTGGGTTTGTTCAAGCACCACTGCCTAGGAAGGAAATGCTCCTGACACTGGGATATACATTCTTTGCAAATTTTCAATAAGAATGAGAGCCTGGTATTTATCTTCTGAAAAACATCAAGAACCCTACTGAGAGGCCCCCCACAAAGAAAAAGAATACAAGATGATAAAAGTATCTTTCTACTTTTAAAAGGATAGGTTACAAAAAGCAATGAAGTGAAGAAAGACATAACAACTGAGAAAATCTGCAATTTTACTTTCATTGTTACTAAAATTTTCTGAAAGTTAGTTTTTATTTCAGATCACCTGAATAGAGCCTTCAAAGAAGTAAAGTTTTATAACTTGTTATATATTTGTTCATTTTTAAAGTACTCTGCACTCAAAATATAAAGATTTCTCGATCCAATATCCCAAATCCAGTATCTGACTATATGAATTTAAGAATAATCCATTTCAGGGCCGGCCGAGTGGCTCAGTTGGTTAAGAGCTCGCTCAAGGGTTTGAGCTCTGAGCAACAACGGTTCGATGCCCGGCCCAAGCTGAGCTGCCATTGAGCTGCCAACAGGTGGCAGGATGACTCAGCTAAAAAAAAAAATAGAATAATCCATTCCTATGAAACTAAAAATAAGTTTCAAAAAGTTAAAAAAAAAAAGATATTTGCAGAGCTGTAGCTGAGCTCTAAAAAATTAGAGGAGAACTTACCTCATCGGTGTTATAGATAATCTGAAGTCCAGAGGAGATCATTTCCACCAGGTAAAGGAGATAGAGTGAGACCGCATTGATCTGAAAACAAACAGCAAAGTGACACAGTTAAGGGAAACAACAAAAATATTATGAAATGAAATGTAAAGAAGCTAAAACTGGACGTCATGTGCTCTAATAGCGGCATATAAGAGCTACTTCCCTTGTTATTGTGAAATAAAGGAGCTGTGGATTTAGTTCATAATAAAATCCCACTTTGTAGATAAAAGTCTAAAATCTTCAAATTCTCTGTGATGGTTAACACCTGATGAGGGAAATGACTACAAGCAGAACTGTCAGCAAGTGTTTCTAGAACGTTTGTTTTCAAAGATTTATTTTCACACTTGGGACTAGAGTATTCCTACACTGGGCCAGTTTTGCCCCGAAGGCAGCTATGTAATGCCAATCCATTTCAATCCATTTTATGTAAATGAAAAAGCTACTTGGCCAGTCAGACATTGGGACTATGCCAGCACACCATGAACAATAAACAATGCATCCTGAAAACACTCTTATTTTCAGAGAATACAATATTTATGAAAGCAACTGCAGGGATATGCTCATTTTAATCAATGCTAAACCATGTAATTTAAAGTATATTTATGAACAAATGAGTTTAGAAACAAATTAGCTTTTTTCTCTTATTAGTCTATTAAAAATAGACATTATATCATCTAAACAAAAAACAAAACAAAACAAAAAAATGAAGACAATAACATCCACTTTAACAAAAGAAGACACTCACAGAATCCTGAACATGATGTGTGAACTGTCTCAAGTAAACAAGCAGTGAGCGAGAAACACGAGGATACAGACAAATCCCGACAACATGGTGCAAAGTGAAAGAAGCCAGTCAGAAAGGGCCGTATACTGCACGACTCCATTTATGGGAGATGCACAGAATGGGCGGGTTCACAGAGCTGTGAAGTTGACTGGGGGTTGACCAGGGCTGGGGAGTTCGGGGGAGATGGGCAGTGACTGCTAACGAGTACTCTCTTCGTGGGGTGATGAAATGTTCTGAAACTGATGGTGACAGTGGCTGCACAACTCCATGAGTAGACTTAAAACCATTGAATTGTATACTTCAAACAGGTGAATTGTATGCTTGTGAATTATATCTCAATAAAGTTGCTACACAATAAACAAATAAATAAGCAGTGAAAATGCTTCATTTAGCCAGGAAATTGCTAACTTGAGTTAAAAGCAAAGATAAAGCGAGATGGAACTTTGTTTGTGTCCCCCTTGACTCCCTTCCTATCCTTACTGAGTAACTGACAGGACGTTGGGATGGGGCAGGAAATTCATGACCTGGAGGCCATGGACAAAGCAGTCTTGTACCACCAGGGCCTGGTGGTGCTGATGGCTCTCACAGGAACCAGGACCATCCTGGACATCTCCTGACCTCCCAGTCCTCAATGGCCAGTGGTATCAGAGTCTTGTTAAGGTCCGAGGGGCCACACAAAAAGATAAAGGTTTCTGGCTTTAGGTAATTTAGAGGGACATAAACTTTTGAGTGACCTTTCTCAGAACATGATGGAGAAGGGCTTTGTCCCACTGTCAGGCACCCAAATATTTTATTATACAGCACTGACACTGGCCTGTCAGAAATGACTTTGAAGAAATTTCATTCCTATGGACAGCAATTCAGGGCTACACCTGTAACAGCTCTCTGGTCTGACTTTTGGGTTGCTTCTGTGGAAAATATCAGAAAGTGACAACCTGTAAAGGGACTGCCGAATAGCTGGTTGACCAGCATTTACTGAACACCTCCGATGTGCCAGGCACTGAGCTTAATTTCTGGAATACAAATATAAGTGAGCTGTTAACTTCTGAAAACCCTATATCAGATAGTAAACATATTCATCAAAGCAAAAGGTAAATAAAACCTAGTTAAGTGATAATTATAAGGAAAAGGTTGAGAAACTACATATTTATATCATAATAAGTCTCAAAGGACCTGGTGACAAATAAGTCTAAGAGTTTCTGCAGTGTAGAAATGGGGACATGGCACTTTCTGTGTGTCACACTGAAGTAAGACATTCTCTCTTGAGGAACTATAGAAAGGAAATATTCATGCTGTACCAAGAAGTATATAATTAAGTATATAAGTATTCTGCCCTAAAGATCACAGAGCCAAATGATGAGCAAGAAGAAAATCCATTAAAGGTAAACAGCACATATACTATTTGTCATAGAAACAAGGCTACAGGATGTCCAGCTAAAAGCAGCACACAAATGTGAGAGAAAAAGAAGTGAAAACAAAACATAAAATCCTACAGTGTATTCTTAGCAGCGGAATCAAATTGGATATATCATATAAGACAGGATTTATAGACTCCAGAGTGCCTTTTGGAATTTCATGTGAGTGATGTTTTTAGCTTTATTGAAAGTTGATACATGAAAAATGAACCGTCATGTAACAGAAACTTCTGACTTGCAGTTACAGCACTGCCAATTGTCTCTTATTCCCTCCTTCCTAAGTGCTGAAATTCTTCCAAATTTGATAACAAGTACACGCTTTTGTCACTGGCAAAACCATGGATTTCTCCTTCTAGGTAGTACGAATATTATAATCCATCCAGTTGCCCTTTCTGCGTGCAGACCGAGGCGTCAGTCAGACTGAATCTTCAATCACAACTAACAGCCTCGTGTGAGCATTTCATGCCTCATTTCATGTGATTTCTCCTTCTGTTGTGAACCACTGATGAAATCTACTTTCTAAAAATGGTAAATAGCCTCAAATCTTCTATGATGTAGAGGAGAACCAGAGAAGAAGGCCTGTGATCTTGTCTTTGTACCTGAAGGTGACCGTACTCTTCAAAGGAGAGGATCTCATCGCCTGTCTGCACGTTGAAAACAGAGTGAAGACACGTTGTTGGCCGTGGGTCTTGCTTAAACTGCTGGACCTAGAATCAAATATAAAATTGACATCATGGTAAGAATTCCCATTCCCATTCCAGGTTAGAAATTATAAGTGATTTTCCATGGAACTTTTTAATGAGGAAAGTTACAAGTGATACACAAAGGACAGAACAAAGCAAAAATGTTACTTTTTCTAAAGAAACAAAACTCATAACCACTAACTTAACCGAGTTGACGTGACTGTTGAATACCGAGTTGATATTTCACAAACTGCAACTCAGCTCTAACAGGGAGATGTGAATGTGGCAGCAATGACTTTTGCAATGTTTGGCTTCTTATTTTATTTTAGAGTCAAGTAATGGTCTCACTGTGTGGGACAGGATTTCAGGGTTTGTATCCCACTGCACTGCTATTTGGAAATGCTTACATGAATCTCAGTGGGAAAGTGCTACAGGCCACGTTCTAATCAGTAAGTGTCCAAAACCTCGAATCTATTTCCTTCTCTAAGCGTTACAAATTGTAACCAATGCTCCTGTCAACACGTTTTCATTTCCTTTTCCAGTGTACTCTCATTACCAAGGCAACAGCGCTAAGAGAACATAGTCGATAACTTGACTTATTAGCCGAACATAAATTTTAACCATTTTAGAATACTAAGTAAATACTAAACGATCTAACAGACAAACTCCAATGACAAAAACCAATCTATCTACTCTTTTAGGTCCTGTCCAATTCAACTTGGTAAACATTACTGATATCAATTATATGCCAAGTACTGTGCTGGTCCCAGGAAATACGAGATGACTAGGACCGAGAATGAACAGAAGGACACATAACTCTATGTAGAGGCAATGGTTTTCTTCTTCTTTTTCTTTCTGCTAACAAAAGTCTTATATATTCAAAGAAAATATAAGAAAACCATTGCCTTATTTATGTTCAGTTAATAAGTAAGGCAATGGTTTTCTTCTCTCTGAAAAGATGTAAGGATGATAATACCTGGGTGGTATGAGCTTGCCTTGCTTCACGTGACTAAGGAAATACATAAGCCATATTCTCCTCTCCACCTTCAAAATTCTTCTCACCCTTAAAATCCTATCTCAAAAAGCATCTTCTTTTATAAAGTCCCTTCTGATCCCCAGTTAAATTCTTTCCTCTGGATTCCCACATCAGGATGCTTATCCTTCAATTATTTCTACTGTCTTTTAATTTTGTTAGTTGCCTGGATCTCCCACTATCTTATAAGCTTCTAGAAGCAACACTATCCAATATGGTAGCCACTAGCTACATGTGACTAATTAAATTAAATTGCAATTAGATAAAATTTGGAAGCACCAGCTTCCAAATCAGTCACACCAGCCACATTTCAAGAGCTCAGCAGCCAAATGTGACTAGTGGCTTCTGTACTGTTCAACACTATAATATAGACCACTTCTATCATCATAGAAAGATAACTGGAAGCGCTGTGCTGGAGGACTAATATATCTTTGTACCCGCCAGGAGCCCTGCACAAATAACTAGAGCCCCCCCACGACTGAAGTCAACAACACGTTGGAAGTCAGGACCTATCAGCAAAAATGAGAGAATGACAGTACAAGCAGAGATGTACGTCTTCTCTCTACACAGTGACCAAGCCACCCAGTGTTAATTCAGAGAAGGTGACAAGGCTCTGCCTTCTCAGTATCGGAAACTGCCGGCAATCATCTTTGACTACACAGACAGAAACCAGGGTGGTCGCCCCTTTCACGCTACCATGACTAGTGTGGCAAAGTGTTGAGCAGTATTCTGGACTCTTAGACAAAAATAGAGTTAAAACAAAGTCCATTTTGCCCCCTTGATAAGGACCTATAAAAGGATATGGGTTTATCAGTTTAATAAAGTGATTGCTGCAGTTGGCAAGGCAGTGTTTGTCATTTGTCTTCAAGACACACAAGTACCCAGCATCAGAGTTTATACTCAATCACAGTGTCAGGGAAAAGCAACCACTGAACAACTAAAGATGCTCAGATGGGGAATCACATAACTATGCTTTGAATCATAAAAGCTGTTAAAAGACAAATAATTTAAAATTTCAGAAAAAAATAAGACCCAAACTCTATAAGCTTTGAAATTTAATGGGGCATATTGTATGTGAATTACAAATAAAAAGTACTCTTGAAAACAGTCAAAATCAAGGAGACATTAATTAGTATTTTATGTCTGGCATCTGGCAAGTAAAAAATAAAGAACAATTAAATGAAATTTTCTAGACTAAAGAAAATCTAGAATAATATTTTCTTTGCTTGTATTTTATTTGGATTTTTCCTAAAAACTTTGATCATTGTAAACAAACAGCTTATTTTGGAAGAGGTAACTGAGTATTGTGTTATGCATTCTTAATTTTTAGCCTTCAAATATACACTTAGGAAAGAAAAATAATTTCCTAAGGGGACCCTGAAAGAATAAATTTTATAAAATTTTGATGATTTTTCATGAATTAAAAACTACTTAGTAGCATTTTAAACAAATATTTTTAAGTAAATAGTTAAAGACAGTAACATTCTAGCCTATTGTAAGCAAATCTCTGCCCTCCAAACTACTAACTACAGACTGAGTCAATTTTGAAAAATTCTGAAAGCTCTCCCTACAGGGTATTAGAAGAGTAAATGAGAGAATAGGTGTATGAATATTTAAAGGTAAAAAATACCTAACGCTAATAAGTACTAAGACAAGTGGCAAAACAAAACAGACAGAAATCAGATGGCTCTCTCTACATTCTGCAAATCAAGGACAATTCTAATTATCCACTCAAATTCATAATAAACTAAAAATATCTCTTTTAGATAGTATTTTTAGAAACCACTAAAAGTGGAGCGCCTAAGACTTTCAAGTCCTGACTTCAGAAGACAGAGAAGGTAAGCCTTTAGGTCAACAGCAAATGAACACTCCAAATGGGCTTCCTTTAGCTTTAAAGAAAGGCCAAGAGATATATACCTGGGACGCCAAAATCATGTATGCAAGTGGACACTTTGGTCAGCGTTGCTCAAGCAATAGTCTGCCATAATCAGAAGTGTCTGGACACTGGTGATAACCACTTTGAGCGCCTCTTATCATGGCAGAAGTCAAACGTGACTTGTATTCATCTTTTGTTATCGGGATATATTAAGTATCATCATTTTAATAGTTTTCCTTTCTTAAAATGTGTACACCTTTTTTTGGCACTCTGAAGTATGGTACATTCCCTCCTGCCACGGATCATGAAGGAAACGCTGAGCATCAACAAGAGGGGAAGGGACGGCGAGGCAGGGAGCTGAGCGCATGCCTCACTCTCTCCGAGTCAGCCCCTCCCAGGCATCTGTGGAGTAGAGAAATACCCTCCCTTCCTACTACCTCTAAAGGCACAGAGATCAGGGAGGATTGTAACAATGGAAATGCTTTACAATTTGTGAGAAACCCTACACTTCGTGGTATGCATAAATCCCAAAGTGATCCATACCTTCTCACATCAGCTTATTTTAATGGTCTACCATTTTATATAAGGAAAGAAATGCTAATCCTTTATGATTTAAGAAATTCAAGAAAGTTTAAGTCATATTCAAGCTGTATTCAAAAGAAAACATAATTATGAAGACTGGCTCATAAGGTTGAATAATATTTAGAAAGGGACTTTAACAACTAGCTAAACAAGCCACAAAGAAAAAACTTCCTATTACATCATTTCCTTCTTTCTGATAAACAATTCTAATTTCAGTCTGTCAGCTTGTTTATCAAACACATGAAATTCACAGTTCTCATAATGTTTCCTGGAGAGGAAAGTTGAAGTCACAGACATTAGGCATTCATGAAATGATAAATTTGAAATAAACAGTAAACTTCTCACACTTAAAAAAAAAAATAACTTGGGCCGGCCGAGTGGCGCGTTGGTTAAGAACTGGCTTAGGATGCCAGAGGGCCCCGGTTCGGATCCCACATATGAGGGCCAGTGACACTGCCCTCTACAGCTAAGATGCTGAACAACAGCTCGACCTGG